GGAACCTATCCCCTTAAAAAGGATTTTGAGGCCATTTTATCTTTAGGCAATTCAGTCATTATGTTTGGAGATTTTAACTCCAAGCATACTGAATGGACATGCCGCACTACGTCCCCTAGTGGCAAGATACTGCTCGATATCACGCAGTCTCTTGATATTACCGTCCATAGTCCTCTCGGTGTTACTCACTTTCCCGATAACACCGATCACGCCCCCCGATGTGTTAGATTTTGCGTTACTCCAAGGAGTTTCTCTCAACCTCGGAGCAATCGAGACACTAGACGATCTAGGATCAGATCACCGACCGGTCTCCCTCATTCTTGGCCATCAGCCACCTCCCCCAACACACACGAAAACCTTCACTAACTGGAAGGGATTCAAGGAGTCCCTAGCTAAAGCTTTGGACTCACAGGACTCTACCATCTCCCTACCGTCGGACTTAGATAGTCCCGAAAAAATCGACACCGCGGTCGACTCACTCTCCACCCTTATTAAATCCTCCCTTAAGGAGAACGAAAGGGTCGTCCCGGTTGCTAACAATAGTGGGCTTCCCATACATATTAGCAACCTAATAAAAGCCAAAAAAGCTGCTTTCCGGAGAGCAGCAAAATATCCCACCCCCGAATATAGGCGCGCGGCCAATCGTCTTCAACGAGAACTCCGCTTCCGCCTCTCTGTATTTCGAGACCTCGAAAAGAGTAAGCTCATGGAGAATATCTCTCCATCTCACACAGCGTACTATCAGATGGCTAGAGCCCTCCGCATAGACGCTATCACCCACACTCCCCCTCTCTCCCGTCCCGACGGCACGGTTGCTTTCGAGGACGAGGAAAAGGCTGAGTGCTTTGCAGATAGCATTGCCGCTCAATGCTCTCCCAGTTCTCAACCCGTCGACCCCTCACACGTCCAGGCAGTGGAGGATGAGGTCCGCCGCCGGAGCTCACCCTCCACGGCCTCCGAACCTATCTCTGTGTCCAATGATGAGATCTCATCCCTCATCAAAGGACTTAAGCCTAAAAAGGCTCCGGGCGCGGATGGCATCTCCAACCAAGCCCTAAAACACTTTCCCGAGCAGGTGTTAACCTTTTTATCTATTATCTTCAACGCCTGCTTCAACCTTAGTTATTTTCCCACTACGTGGAAAGAGGCTACTGTGATTGGAATTCCCAAGCCAGGCAAGCCTCCCAACCTTCCCTCCAGCCATCGCCCCATTAGCCTCCTCAAGGCAATGGGCAAGCTCTTCGAAAGAGTCATCCAAAGTCGAATGAGGCGCTACCTGTTTCCCACAGACGGCGACCCTCTTATCATTCCCCATCAATTCGGCTTCCGAGCCAAACACTCATGTCCCCAACAAGTTCACCGCATTGTGGAATATATCCTCAGCGGTTTCTATCCTCGTCGTCATAAGACCATCGCGGTCTTTTTCGATATAGCCAAAGCATTCGATAGAGTCTGGCACACAGGCCTTATCTACAAGCTCTATAAAATAGGTCTCCCCGATCGTCTAGTTCGTCTCGTGGCCTCCTATTTAAAACATCGTACCTTTCGTTTCAGACACGAAGGCACGCTCTCTTCACAGCGAACTATCAAGGCTGGTGTCCCCCAGGGCTCAGTACTTGCTCCTCTGCTGTACATCCTGTTCACCAACGACATTCCCATCCCGTCGAAAGGTGTTCAACTCTCCCTCTTTGCAGACGACACTGCCATCTACTGCAAAGGTGTCTCACTACCCTTCATACGGAACAAGATCCAAAAGTCAGTTGATGACCTAGGAGCTTGGTTCAAAAAATGGCGCATCGATGTGAACCCGGAGAAGAGCTCCGCCGTTCACTTCGATTATAAACGACGCCGTCTCAAAAACACTCCTCCAATACGTATGCTAGGGACCCCTGTCCCCTGGCGTACGTCCGCCAAATATTTAGGTGTCACTCTAGACACAGGGCTTACTTTCAAGCCCCACGTCAAAAGAGTAACCCGTCACGCACGATTTTATCTGAGTAGGCTCAACAGTATGTTGGGCCGACACAGTAAAATGTCCCTTCGAAACAAGCGTACACTCTACAAGGTATGTATACGACCAGTCATGTCCTACGCGGGCCCCGTCTTTGCCCACGCAAACCCTAACATTTTAAATGAACTCCAAATAGTTCAGAACCTATTCTGTCGTCGAGCTGCGAACGCACCGTGGTACGTTCGTAATGCCGACCTTCATCGGGACTTAGAGCTCCCAACAATTCAACAATTTCTTAAAAAACTCTCTGAGAACTTCTTCAAAGCCTCAGAGTCGCACCCAAACCATTTAATTCGTGAGGCAGCTTCTTATGCAGCCCCACCCCCCTCTCGCTATCGTGTCCGCAGGCCGAGAAACTCTCTCTCGGACCCGCCTAATAAACTCTCAAACGACCTGAACTGTCTCCCTGGCGGCTCAGGCCAACTCTAATTAAATAAAATTACTGTAATATCTAACATTAATTTGCCTTCGTAGGCACTCCCTCAGCGGCACTTAGCCGCCTGCGCCCTCTTTTCCCAAAAGAGGGTCGCTCATGATAAGGCACAATAGAGCTTAATCAGCCGGCTGCGTGTCCCCAAAGGCGGTTTTTAGGGGGTATCACTTAGGGTCCCCGGTAGGACAGTGAGTCCCCCATAACCACGATAGACCGGCTATCGTGGTATGCGTAATGCATTTTCCGCCTCCCTACGTACAGGGTAGCCCTTTAATTGCTTCGGGCGCAAAAAAAAAAAAAAAAAGAATACAATACAAAACTTTTAGCAAAACGATATGGTTATAATGAATAATAAACTTACTACAACTAAATAATACTTATGGTGTACAATTTTATTCAGAAATGATAAAACCGCTGCTTCGTATATTAACAAGATAGAGAAGGTTCTATTGATTAATTATTGAGGATTCAATACTTTAAATTAAATAAAAATATGGAAATTAAACATACAATCTAAAATTGAGCCAAGTAAACAAAGAACAATCGGAGGAAGTCTTTCAAGTCTATTCAACAATCTCATAAAGCAGTGTCAAAAGCTAAAAATTGATCAAATTAGTAACGAGAAATAATAAAATTATTGTATACTTAACAATGGGGTTCTGTAGACATGACCCAGACACCATGGCAGTTATATTAGATGGGAGGACGATTCCTCTTTTATGTATTTCCACTAATGTCTATGATGTCAAAAAAAACAATTGAGTCAAAAAACCATAGGTTTTTCTTTTTTTCACATGGGCAGTAAATGTAAAAATTGAATTATTTGTTTTGAATAAAATAACAAATTATTAATAACACTGCCTATATAATGATAATCATACTACTGTGTCATGTTACAGTCATCTCATAGACATCTCATACACATCATAGGTTACTATTAGTGAAGCATTTTGTAAAATATGGCACGCCAAGATTTACTCCAAAATTCATACGAAGATTTATATGGTAAACTCTTCTATGTCAAATACTATAAACTATAAAATAATAAAATTATTAATTCTCTATCGTACCAAATTGTAGTAAGTGTAATGAAATTCCTTACTGGGCTTTTGTGCTTTTAACTTAGGTTTGAGTTATAAAAATAGACTTAATAATAAGTTACTTTTAGATTAATTAACAACTGAATATTGCAATAAATATTGAGAATACAGAAATTTACAGAAACTAGTAACAAACTGAGCCGTTACAGGTTATAATATACGTACATTGTCCTTCAACAAATATTAGATTTATTCAAAGGGGAGCTCAGATGTATAGTTAAGATATAGATAGAATTTCACTTCAACAGGATTTTTATGGAAAAAAAATGAGGAAGGGGTTGAGCCTTTCTTGTGAATATTTTAATAGACAGAACACAAGATAATGATAAATTTAACCCACTTCGAAAAGTATTTCTTAAGTAAGTTAGTAAGTTATAAGATGTTAAATTAAAATTTATTATAAATTAAACTGGATTAGATATTCCAGATTGTTTTCTTTTTCAGTCATAATTCTTCTACGGGGCCACTTCTGCTGCAATCAAGCTGGCCTTATGTGTAATAATTTATTTTATGTTATTAATTTAAATTTATGATATACAGACAATATCTACAACATTTTTTATAAAATAAGGAAAATTGCAAATTTCCATTTATTGTTATTATTCGCAACCCTGTCTTCAAACATCTAGAATTGTTAAGAATGTCTAGGACAAGGAGAGAGTATAATTAAATGGTTAAACGAACTTACCTTAAGTGAAGTTCAACCATAATTATACGAAGCTCCTTGTCCTAGACGGTACTCCCGGCCCAACCCTCCCTGGGTTAGGGTTGCTCATCTAATTCCTTGCCTTAAACATAATTAAATTGCATTGACGGACGGGTTGATACAGTGTTCCCATATATACTGCTCCTTAAAAAAATTTTTTAGCGAGCTTGGATAAATTGTGTTGCTGGCATGGAATGCAACGTAGGTACTACATTTGTTAAGAATGTCTAGGACTAGGAGCTTCGTATAATTACGGTTGAACTTCACTTAAGGTAAGTTCGCTTAACCATTTAATTATTTTAGTTTTTTACGTTCATATGAAAACATGAACTAAAACTTACCTATGTGTGGAAAGTGATTCTGCTTGATTTATTATGTTTTTGTGACCTTGAATCGCATTATTTCACCACGCATTTACCCATTTTTGTCGTGAATTGTTCGGCTTAACTCTGTCGGTGTCATATCGAACACTGAACTGACGTTAGCTAGGCATATGGCTGTGGCCATATGTGCAGTGGCAACGCTTCGGCGCGGTAATTACTAATCTAGTGTAATATATAAATCAACGATTCTACTGCTGTGCTAGATACAGACCTTTCCAAGAATAAATGCATCAATGCTATCATTAACTGCATATTTTTAATCACAAAAAATATATGAAGTTCAAATAAAAGTCAGGTCAATAAGTAACCGATAAATTCATTTAATTTCTTATTACATATATATAATAAGAAAATGATTGTAATATTTCTACAACTTTACAAGCGTGCCCTCTCTAGTCTTGAAGTAACGAGGGGGTGGGTGGTTGTGTTCTAAGTTATGACTGACCACTTTATCATTACTCAATTTTACCTTGGCCTTGCATTGACTTGATAACTGAAAAGAAAAAGAAAATAAATTCTAAATTTAAATTTTACGCTTTATTATATGACATATAAATGCGAAGGTTTTAAAGTATGATTTTAGTTTATGAGAAAAGTTCATTATTTTCATTTAACTACATATAACACTATCTACTCTCTACTATCTTCTGAGAGCCGTGGTAGCTGAGGGGTAAGCGTTAGCTGGATTCGATCTGTTGTATGCTATTACTGCCGACACCAATTAAATAGTTATTTATAATTAAAAGTGCTGATTTACCACGGGTTCAGCAACAAAAATAGCGTCGTAAGGGAAAGTGCTTATCTCAGAAATTAAAAAATTTATTAAAAATTCATTCTAATACGTAATAGGTCAGCGCGGCGGATACTGTTTCGTCTTAAAATCTTGTCAAGAAAGAGAGCAGGTCTACGCCCAACTGTTCAATGTAGTAAATAAGGCTGTGACTTTACTTTTACTAGCTCCTACCGCGGCTTTACCCATGTAGAAACCTTTTTTGGCTCAGTCAATCAAGACTAAACTCGACGTGTATATCTTTCAGAACATTTATAGCTAACATAGGCTACTTTAGCTCTTTAAAAGCACATGAACGGAGCCTTTCTTTGCCATTATAAAAAATCTTATATTTTATAAGGCGATGCGAAGGAGACATTTCAATGTTCATTTAAATGATTTTCTGTTTAGAGAACTATTAGAATCAACCCATAGTCATTAGAATTTGTCAAAAATACACAGTCATAAAGTGGATATATGCTATTGTTGAAACACTTGACATGGCAACCTCAGTTTTATTTATTTATTAGGGAGGCACTGCTGCCCTGTGATTAGTTTCCCTTTATCACATCTTACGACACCACGCGATAATATGGGGTAGTGGATAATCCCACGTTGTTGGTTCCAAAATCCCACTGCTACTACACGGTCAGATCTACAAAATCGGAAACATCCCAACGAAAAAACAGAGTAAGCACAATACCTTGCTGGAGCAGAACCATAACCGAGAGGACCTGTTAGTTCTCGAGAATGTGTAGTCTTGTATCAATAAGAGATGGCCGCCACGTAAAGAATCGACAAGCTCGTATGCCACTCCTTAAAAAAATCATTAATTCTAATTGCAGACAGAAATATAACTAATTATAGAGAAATATTACTAATTATATAAAAACTGTTATTTTATTTAAAAAAGCGATCATGTTCAAAAATATCGCACAAGATACCAGGTGTTTGATTGCATTTCTTGGGGGAGGCATATTTTCTGCAGTGGACTTTTGAGTAAAGGACGATGTTGTTAAGAACAAATTGACAAGGGCCTTTAGAGACCAGTCACCTTATGGTAAAAGGTCACTTCAACCCATTGATATCTCTCCCTGTCTATCATATGACGATAATCCTGACTGTTTACCGTCTGGAATATTTATTGTCATTGTTGAAAATTGTATACAAATTTTTACTAACAGTGTACAGTTTTACTTTCAGACCGAAACAACAGTGTGTGCACTGTGCACTGTCACTTTGTAAGGAAAATAAGTGTGAAACGGCTTTCTTAAAGTTAATACCTTGGTATTTTTAAGCAAATACATTTAATAAAACTAATTATTTATCTCGTTAATTTTTTTTTTGAAATACCGGCGTTAAACACTTAAAGTCCTGATGGCAAAGTCTGACTTGTAAATTAGCCTGTATAAATCAATGTTCAAATCAGCCTTTAACGATCGTAGAATATTATCTGGGCCAACTCCGCAGCGGGGGAAGTGCTGCTCAGTACTGAGCTGACGAGAACGGTACGCGGCTGGCGGAAGTGGGAGGAGTGAACATCGGCAAATCTGTTCGCTACCTATATATCATTTAGTACATTGAAAACACAAAGCAATATATAACATTTATTTCTTCATTTTATGTAGAATAACACAAAAAATATTCTTAATATTAACGGTGGTTAATATCAGTGGTTGTGTTTGTCGTAAAACTTATAAATGTTGTCATAATTATCAATAAAAACTCTGGCGGGACATTTGCGAGACTTTCTTTTAGAGCAGTACCAATATCGGAAGTTACAACTGTTGGAAAACGTGTAGTCGCGGAATAACAGGACAAACTTTCCTCTGTCTGTTTGCTGAATTTGGTAGAATAGATCTGAAAAACACCATACATGAACCAGACGACTTTAATAAAATAATGTTAAAGAAAAAGTGATCAAGTTATTATAATATAAGTATAAAATATTTCTTGTCCACTTTTTATCTAAATAAATTAATTAAAAAAGAAATAAAAATTAATGACACATGATGAAATCGAATTTTAATTTAAGGAAGCGCGGACCGCGAACTCAAAAAGGTCGTGGGTTCGAATCCGCCATTTGAATACTGGTGTGAACCATTCGTAACACAAGCAATTTAAGCTTACACCGAGTGGTTAAGGGGATTATTAGTAATGTTTATAACATTGTTAATATTATTTTTAAAATAAAAAAAGAATTAAAAATAGAATAAAAAAGAATAAAGGTTTAGTTCTTTTCCATAACAGCTATATATATATATATATATATATTTACGTTGATATTCTGTGAGAGCGTGGTCCTTCCTCGGTCGGGCCGACCCATGCGTGCTACAACTATACTACTAATATAGCTGCAGTACGGCTCTACCACGTATAGAAATAGAACCATCTAGACCATATAGACCATCTTTAGGAACTAAAACTCTGAAGGATGACACTGACTCAATATTTTCAAAGAAAATATTAGTGTTAATTTAGACTATCAATGAAAGACAGATGGAGTCCCGCATACATTTTAAGTGACGATGAAATCGTGCTCAACTTGCAGTAACGGCACGCAACTATGCACACATATGCATCTAAAATCATTTGGAACCAACAACATGATTTTAGGTCATGTGTATGTCAATCAGTGTATTTTAGGGGGCTGTTATGGAAAGAAAGAAGAATGTGTGCGTGTCTGTCAAAAAGTTGAACATGGGCTTAGCGTCACTAGAAATATACGCAGTTCTTAGTCTATATTATATATAGTGCCCGTGTGTGCGCAGATGCACAGGTCCAATCACTAAGATCATTCTTATAGTCCGAAGTCTCATGACGGGGCGAGATCAGGCACAGGACCTACGGCTTTACTTGCTTTCCGAGGCACGGGGGTGAAATACTGCCAACATCTTGATCCGGTCTGCTTATGAGAATTTCTTGACAGAAAAACCCAATAACTAAATTTTAGTCCGGCCCGGGATTTGAACCCGGGACCACGTGATCGGAAGTCGCTTTAAAAAAATAGAATAAGAGTGACAAACGAGCACACAGTTCACCTGATGTGACGCTGTGACGCTGTTTCGCATAGACGTCTACATTTACCCTCGATTAAGAATCAAAACGCAGATGCGTTGTCACCCCTGAGGACTAAGATGAAAAGCTTCATTTCCAGTAAAAAAATGTCTCCGGCTCTCAACACTCACCATACGAAACAAAGCAGTATTAAGCTGCTATTTTACGCTGGTTTTCGTGCTACAACCATAATATAACTGCAGCGTGGCTCTACTACATTTATAAAACGACCACTAGTACAATTAATAATCAGTTAAAATAATTGAAGCATATATATCATTGTAAAAACGATAACATAATGATTAAGTACAGTTGAAATAAAACTTTATATAAAAAATATAAGCCCACTTCAAACACATAACTAAAAAGAATAAAATAATAGAAATTCTGAAGTCGATGATAACACATATTGTAAAAATTAAGGCATCGGCTTCAGCATGTAAAATATTATTTAGATTTTTTTGGAATCGCCTTTTTTATCACAAGATATTTCACTTCCCTTTTAAGTGGACTAAGGATCATATAAATAGTTACATCATCATCCCCTATTCTACCATTATTAGGATTTTGGATTTTATGCTCCAAATTTATACGGCACAACTCTTACATCGGTTTACAATTAACGAAGACATCGCGTAAAACATACAAAAACCACACAGTCGAATTATAAACATTCTACTATTTCTGTATTCGAACAAAACGAAGAGAGTTACTACATCCTCGAACAATATATACATGCTACTATAATCTATAACAATCTGAATCTAACTAGGTAAATAAAAAAACCAGATACATGATCTACATTTACTTTAATAACGTTTTGATTATGCTTAAACATTTTCTATAAGCGGTTACATTTATAAGTGCACTATCATTATATATGTTTTATAGTATTATATTTTATTTTTTTTGGGGGTTTTTTTTTTTTTTTTTTTTTTTTCGAGTTGTGAAGGGAAAATAAAAAGAAAAAAAAGGATCGCAAATTTAAAGTTATTCTTGCTTGTTAAATACAGTTACGAATGAATAACGATTTACACGTTTGTCAATAATCTATTATATTTTTAATTGTAGTTGTCTCATGTTGGTTTGGTACTTATACAAGACCCAATGGTGATGTGGGATTTATTACAAAAAAATGTGACAAACTTATTAGTTGTCTACCATGCCGTAAAAGGCGACTAATAGATTATAGGGTATATAATTGTGTAGCCTATGGGCTAGATACCTATCAATTCTTACACAATTTGCAATCTCCAATCTAAGGCCATATTTTTATTAGCTAAATATATATGTATATTTTATTACTCTTGGTACAGTATTCTACAGGGTTTTGTTTTTAATTGAAAATCAGCGTGGTGATGTTGACGCAAAATTATGCTAAAAGATAACCTTTTAGACATGTCGACATGACATGACATGACCACAATGTGCAAAGCAATTAAAAATATATTTACATTTTGAGTTACAATGTCTGTTGTGTAACATCATTTGGTTTGAGTCAAATAAAGTATTAATTAATTAATCTCTCTCTTTATAATGTTACAACTTATTTCTTGAAGTTTTAAACAACAATTTATTACCAAGTAGTCATCAAAGCGTAAGTTAATAGTGGAGCTGACTGCTTTGAGTAGTTGGTTGAATACTCAAAGGCTGTCAGTGAATCTCGCCTGTTATTTTACTTTCTACTAAGCTGTTCTATAAAAGTATACCCATAATATAACTACATTTGCCTATCCCTATCACGTAAACACTGAAAAGTTTAATCTAAGTACAAAAGCAATTCGAATTCAATTCTACTTTCTTTATTAAAGTAAGGCATACGGGCACGCGGTTCCAAATGGTAAGTGTATAAACATAGTCTGCCCATAGTCACATATATCCACCTTTGCTTAAGAAACAAAATGCAAAATGCTTGTATCCTTTAAGACACCTACACCTTCAACTTGTCTGTACCATACAAGACATTGGCAAACACAAACCATTAATTAAATAAATGCTCGAAATTTTATGTTCTACGTAATGTATAAGCACAATAAGTTTACCTCAGAACAGAAAGAAAAGATGACGGAGCGCTGGGTACCTTCAAATTGACGCAAAAACTGTGCTCAACTTCTTGACATGCACTCACACATACATCTTTCTTGCTTTCTTTTTTGTCTCGTAAAAATTAATTGATGGATGCAGGCATATGCACTTAAAACCATGTTAGTTGCAAATAATTGCAGTTGCATATGTGTACGTGAGAGAATCCTTCACTTGAAATATGCGTATTGCTCCGTCTTTGTTTGTTTATTGGTGTGAAACTTATACAACAATTTTCCCCTAAAGTTTAACGTATTTTCCACAACTATCTCTATAAAACTGAGGGGGTAAGTGATTATGTTTAAGTTCATAATGTACAAGCCGCCCACTGGAATCAAATCGCAATTTCGCTGGACATTTGTTTGACAGCTTCTTGCTACAGTTCCAATATCGTCCGTCGTTCGTTGTCTGGGCAAAGGTATACTTCTGGACGATCAGCATACGCTTCTTGCAGTTCGTTGGTGTAATGAATTCGAAATGAAGACCTGCAAAACAGTATCAAAGTTAGAAAATATTAAAAGTTTTTTTTTTTATAAACTTGTATTTGCGTTCAAATCAACTCCTTTGTATTTGTACTACTTTTATACAATCGAAATCGAATATACCGACAGACCGGTTATTGTAACAAAATGGCTGGGTACCAGCAGTGACCCCATATAAGCTATTCATTATCACCATTACAGCCTACATAAAATCCGTGAAACATACGCCTCTTTATATAGATTGTACTCAGTAGAGATGTTTCCATAGTTGCCTCCACGTTCAGCAGGCGTGTTGCGAGGAACAGAGGCTGCAGCACATTACCAGTTTAAATTTCCCTCTGTCGCTTCTTACGACATGATACCGTGTTTAATAGATAAAGTTGTATCTTAGCTTACTACAACTATCAGAAATTGCGTCATTATTTGGATCCTACCGTTATTTGGACCCTTCAATGTCATTATAACCGATTTTCAACTGTATTTGCAAATAAAGCCGGCCAAGAGCGAGTCGGGTCACGCTCAGTGTAGGT